GGGAACATCGGCAAGTTTGAAAGTCTTTCAAGCTGTTTTAAGTCACGACGAAATATATCAAATGAATACAAAACCGGACTTATTTACAGTTCAAGTACATAGTAGGTTCAGGCCTTACACACTACGTATCGTTACAAAACACTGGCGATGCAAATAGGAACTCGAACATAATTGATAAAAGTAAAAGCATGGTGTGAAATGAAGATATCGACGAGTAATCTGCAGAATGCTGAGTACCAAAGAGACTGGCTCTCAGTCGGTGTGAGGGAAAGGCTTTCTTTAGTGCGAATATCATTATTATCATGACCCTGACGAAGGAGAATGAAGGGCGGTGAGCGGCAGGGCCCGCTGTAGTAAGGCCTCCCAGCTCCGAAAGCCGCTATCTTTCATTTTATCTTGTAATTCCTTGCCATCATTGAACAGAGTCTTCGAGCTCCTTTTGGCCCGCTTTCCCAATTTCCGCACGAACCTAGAAGAGGACATTCATGCCGGTTTGCAGGCTGGCCGAGCATATGACTCAACATGAATACTCATGGATTCGGCCAGATTTCTGTGCAGGCAAAGTTATGGATTCCCGGATTACCTATATACCTTTAGACACGCTACGACATGTCGAGTCTAAGCCTACATATTTAGTCACATGCGGTCCTATCTCTGTCCCGTTATGGACTATCGCCGCCAACGCCGAACGGGTCATCGCGACGTCATTCTTTTTTATTCAAACTCCGTCCAGGCTATAAACAGGCCCTCTTCTGACATTCCCTCTCAACCTCTTGTACCACGACCACCTCGCTTTAACAATGTCCTCAGATGCCAATGCCGCGGATTCGCCCAAGAAGCTTCAGAATTTTACCATGGTGAGACGTCGTTCTGCTGATCTGGTCGCGATTCTGATATTTATGGTTCCAGATACAAGCCTTCGAATGGTATACGGAAGGGAATGGTGTCCATTGGAAGAAGATCGAGCAGGTAGCGCCTGAGCTCGCTGATTTTGGTCTCACGGCAATGTGGCTTCCCCGTTCGTCCAAATTTCTTTTCATCCGTTTATCAGAGTCCTGATACTCTGGTTCTCTTTTCTTCATCCTCATCTCCATGTCGGCTTGATATCTATCGCTTTCCTTGATACAGCTCCCACGAAAGCGGCTGGACAGGAATCCGTCGGCTACGATATCTATGATTACTTTGACCTTGGAGAATTCGACCAGAAGGGCGGGAAGAGGACGAAATATGGCACGAAGGAGGAGTTGATTTCTGCTGTTCGCAAGGCGAAAGAGCTGGGGATCTCGACGTATATTGACGCAGTGTTGAATCATCGGTGAGTTTTCGACCCTCGGTTACCAGGTTTTCGCCTTGAATAGTGTTCCTGATCCCTTATTGATCTATTCCATAGATTCGGAGCCGACAAGACTGAGAAATTTGGCGCGATCGAGGTCGATAATGATGATAGGACGAAGGATGTTTCCGATTTGTATGATATAGAGGTTCGTTCGTCTCAGCAAAATGTTCCTTGACTCACGATGTTATAGGGATGGACTCGTCTCGAATTCCCTGGTCGAGGTGACAAGGTAAGGCTCTGGATCTCATCCTGAATACATGTACTCAGCCATTCATTCAGTACAGCGACTTCAAATGGAACTTTAACCATTTCACTGGGGTCGATTACAACGACGCTGATGGCAAGACTGCTATATTCCGTATTCATGGAGATGGGAAGACTTGGGCTACAGGCGTGGACAAGGAGAATAAGAATTACGATTATCTTAGTATGCCTTTCGTCTCTATCCAATCTGCCCTACTCATGTCCGTTAGTGGGCGCTGATGTCGACCACAGTCACTCTGATGTTCGTGATGACCATATAAAGTGGGGTAAATGGATCGTGGAAGAGTTGGATGCTGCGGGATTCCGGTTTGATGCTATCAAGGTATCGTCATAGATGCTTTCTTGCTTTCCGGATGTTAATGATTGTACTAGCACATCGACAGCGCCTTCATCTCTGACTTTGTTCAAACGATCCGCAAGGAGACGAACAAGCCGAAACTATTTGCTGTCGGCGAGTTCTGGAAGGATTCGCTTGAGTCTCTAGAGAAGTATTTGAATTCGTTGGGAACTCAAGTAAGTCGAAAACATAGAAGGTATATCCTGGGCTGACCGTTTCCAGTTCAGCGTTTTTGATGCGCCATTGCATTACAACTTCAAAGAAGCTGGAGATCGTGGCAAAGACTATGATATACGCGCAATTTGGGACGGAACTGTTGTTCAAAAACGTCCCATTGATGCGGTGACCCTTGTTGACAATCATGAGTAAGTTGGGCCTTCAATTCAGACACTGAAGCTGACCTGGTTCCTTTGCAGTACGGTCAGTTGTAGTTTTTCACATTATCGGCTGCCTTCTGAATGATTCCATAGCAAGTTGGCCAATCGCTGGAGAGCTGGGTTTCTCCGGTATTCAAACCTCTGGCGTATTCGCTGATCCTTCTGAGACCAGATGGTTATCCGTGGGTTTGCTATTTCGACCTCTAGATTGGTTCTGATCAAATTAGATGTGTCTTCTGGGGCGACTTGTATGGATGTAAAGGCGATGATCCACAGGAACCTGTTTCCCAGCTATCCGACTTGATCAGAGCGCGAAAGCTCTTTGCCTACGGAGAATTGAGAGATTATTGGGACCATATAAATTGCGTTGGGTAAGCCCTTGCGCCACATTCGTCGAATTGAGATTGACGCTCGATTAGTTGGGTCAGAACCGGAGATCCAGAGAATGGCAGAGATGGCTGTGCTGTTGTTCTATGTAATGGTGACGGTGAAGGGTACGTCGACTGATTTGGAATGGATCACGAATTAAGGCTTTTTCAGGGTCAAACATATGGAAGTCGGCTCCGAGCACGTTGGCGAGAAATGGACGGACATTCTTGGCTGGTATCCTGATACGGTTACCATCGGCGAAGACGGTTGGGCCGATTTCAAATGCAACGAGCGCAGCGTGAGCGTTTGGACCAAGGTAGACGCAAAAGGACGTGAAGAATTCGCCAAAAAGTAGAATTTTCCTCGGGCTTAGTGTAAATTAGATTTTCGAACATTTTCGGGTCAGAAGAGGTCAAGTTGTAACAGGAAGTCATGCGTGACATTCTACGGTCCGACGATCGGGGCGATGCTGCGGGAAGCGCGTCACATGACTCTTTGAATGGCCTTGCTGTAATTTCTTCCCCTTCATTGAAAACGACCCGTCTCAGAGGAAGCAAAATGGTAGACGACAAATACATTGGACTAGCGCTGGCTGTGTCCAGCTCGCTGGCTATTGGAATGAGCACGGTCATCACGAAAAAGGTCAGGCCACTTCTGCTAGCCTTTCACCCATTTGCTTATTATTCGTACAGGGCCTCAATGCGGCGGCAGATAATTCTCTGGGGACTGCGTCGGACAATATGAGCTACCTGAAGAATCCCATATGGTGGGCTGGGATATCGACATGTACGTGGTCGTCTCTTCATTCGGCTTTTTTTTTTGACAATCATCTCCTGCAGTAATCCTTGGCGAAGGTTCTTCCATTTCCCTTCATTAATCAAGTCAAAAATCCTTATATCGGTTCATAGTGGCCAATTTTGTCGCATATACGTTTGCACCGCCGATATTGGTGACACCATTGGGGGCGCTCAGCGTGCTGGTAGGGTATGACGGCCATTATTCTCCCTTTTTTCCTTGACCGACGACATTTTCCAGCGCTGTCCTTGCATCTTTGTTGCTCCATGAGCACCTGGGTCACCTTGGCCGTCTGGGGTGCACGATATCATTAATTGGGTCGCTCATTATCGTGCTGCATGCACCAGAGGACAAGCTGGTGGAAACAGTCGATGAGATATTGACCTATGTCATCCATCCAGGTACGTTATACTATTTCCATTTCTCCGTTCTGTGCTTATGGTCTTTTCAGGCTTCATGCTATACGTCCTGACGGTCCTCGTCTTTTCGCTAATCATGATCTATGCGGTTGCCCCACGACATGGACGCTCGAATCCCTTGGTTTATATATCGATATGCTCCCTAGTCGGCTCGGTTTCCGTCATGTCCATCAAAGGCTTTGGTGTCGCCGTCAAGCTCACCTTTGGTGGAAATAATCAGTTTCTACGACCGAGCACCTATCTGTTCGGCGTCGTCTCGCTAGGATGCATCCTCGTCCAGATGAACTATTATAACAAAGCTCTCGATACATTTTCGGTCAACATGTGCGTCGTCTTTCCTTTGTTCTTGGTCATTTCTGATGAGATCCTGCAGCGTGAACCCAATGTATTATGTCGGGTTTTCGACAGCGACCATCACAGCGTCTCTGATCCTCTTCCAAGGATTCAACACCACAGATGCGACCAATACTGTCTCCCTTATTGCTGGCTTCGTCGTCATATTCCTGGGAGTCCACCTGCTCAACATCTCACGAATTCCCGAAGACCCGCCGTTGGACGGACACACTGCATTGCAAGCTGGCATTATGAATCCGAGATTGAGCTTGCAGGGCCGGTTATCGATTGACGGCTGGCATGGAATCTCGGTAGTCGAACCTCGATCTGGACATTCTCGAGGACTATCCTGGGGCGAACCAAGGACACCGCGATCTGGAGGTTATGATAGAGTCGGTTACGAGCCCAGGACACCTCGGTCGGGTGGACATGGTCGACGAAGCGCGCTGTATCACGCCCAGAGCTCGACTTTGTTCAATGCTTTTGAGGCAGAAGATACTTTAAGGACAGATAATGTTGGATTGGATCGGTTAAAGGAGGAAGATGAGTCGGAGGATTCGGATGCTGACGAACGGACACATTTACGCACTAACCAGACACATCTTGTTAATGGTGACGCAGAGAGAAGAAGTCATAGTCGGTCGCCTAATCGATAATGTTCTTTTGCTTTGTATTAATTTATAATAGTATAGTATACCCTATCTATAGTAGAAATACACATGTCTTGTCGCGGGGTACAACTACTGCTTCAAGGAGCAAAATGCCAAAAATGGTTCAGCCCGGGGTCGAACCGGGGACCTTCTGTGCGCGTATCTCACTGTGAGACAGAAATCATAACCACTAGACCACTGGACCATGAACCGTAAGCAAAGCAGGTAGCAGTTCATATGGTGCCGAATCTTGAAAAGAAAATATCAAAAAATCGAAGAAATTACAGTCTCCTAAGCCAGACACTGAAGAAAGAAGCTACACAGGGTAAATAACTCACTCGGTGAGACACATCTTCCAGGTCTCTGTGGATCTGTATTCAACCTAGAAAACAAAGGCCAGAAAAGACTAGTATTCATTGGGTGTCGATGAATACTATCTACAGACTAAGCCACTTCTCTTTGTTTCTACTGGGAAAGAGTACTGCACATAACAGTAGGCTTACTTTCTTTCAAGTTTTGAAAGGCACAAGGGAAGAGAAAGTGGGAAAAGACGTCAAAACAGAGGCCCAGAATATTGTTCTGGACAAGAAATCAAAGATTTGTGCTATTTGCTAGAAAGAGTTGTAGTGGACTTGCGAACTTGGGGTTAAGCTGAATTGTAATTATAATGAAAAGAGCTGTGAGTACAGACAGATAATAGATGAAGACAACAAAAATGGTTCAGCCCGGGGTCGAACCGGGGACCTTCTGTGCGAGTATCTCAATGTGAGACAGAAATCATAACCACTAGACCACTGAACCCGCGGAAGGTAGCTTGGTTCTGACATTGAACACAGGCCTGTTTGACAAAGTCCCCAAGCTGAGGTACTGAAGAGTAGTGAAAGTCAGGTATGGTTGCTTTGAAACTGCTACTCTTTCTCAAATCCCTAGACTGTCATGATCATGCCTGAAGCATTTGGTGACACATAAATGAATCATATAGCCAGCGCCTAAAAAAGCACTAGTGACATCTAGATAACTAGATCGACAACCATACCAGCAATAACCATATCTTGTAGTGTAGACTCGTACCACTCAGGCAAGATTTCCATCGGAGCACTTGAGTCTCTCCGAGTCTGGAGACCATCAGAATCAGATTTTAAAATCATCGGATTGTTCATAGACAGCTATTATACCGGCTCCGGTTATCGACTGCTACATTGGATCTAGTAGTAAAAATTTATTTTTGTACTAAAGTCATGAAGCCAAACCATCGGATTCAAAGTTCATGAGCCAAGTTTCCGACACATTATCAAACTTTCGTGCAAACATCACGGAATCTAGGCGATGTCAGAGCGCCGGCGTTTATTGTTGAGCGGTACCTCACATGGTGAGAGACTTTTTCCAGACAATTGACCGTGTTGTGCCTGGGATGTATGAAACGACGGTCGAGTCTCGACTCTCGACGCATATGTGTATTTCCAATGTGCTCATAAAGACTCCGGACATGATGAAGGTTCATTCACCGCAAATCACCTCGGAAATTTCAAACATGATCTCTTCATAGATTGTCGCTCCCAACCCGAGTCCTCGGCCTGGAGGTCCGCCTTCCGACCCTTAGCGGTCTCTCACGGAATCAGATGTTCGAAAACTCAGTTTGATTCCGCGTGGTCGGGAAAACCCCAAACATTGGGTGGGCGGCGGCCCCATGGGCGCTGGCATGCATTTATCTCCGGCATCCAATGGCCGAAGCGAGTCCTAGATTGGTTAAAGACTGGAATTGCTCTACAATCCTTTCTTCTGCTGCCTAATGATGCTCATCGAGCTATGATCTTCAGGATCTAAATGTTTCTAGAATTGGTACCAACCTCGAGTCCGGTACCTTGATTTCGGCGACATGAGATTTGTTCCGTCAAAAGCCAAGCTGTTCCTGGAAATCCAAAAATATCCATATCATGGGGTATACATCATGGCCACACCGAGGCAGTGCATAATCATGGGCGACTTCCCAACTTCTTGTGATAGTTCCTTGTTCCTGTGATACTTCTCTGTGATACTTGCTCATCGATGAGAAGCAACACCAGAATAAGAAGCAAAAAGAGAAAGAGAAGAAACTTTGTGGGAGTGGAGCAGCGATGGAAGAAGCGCTGTTTCAGCAGTAGCAGTTCTCGCGTCTTCCTTATCAAAGGGTCTTGTAAATCAATTGTTGAAATCCAGCCAAATTCCAGGCAGCATTCTGGAAATCTGATTTTTACTTCTCGGCCATCCCGCCACAGTACTTAAGTATTTGTAGGCATGTGAACGATGTGAACAGAACCGGGTATCTTGTGCAAGCCCGAGTTTTTACTAGGTGAAGGAAGAGCGGAAGGAGGGTGTACTATTTCGATTACCTGGATATTTGAACCCCGCGGCGTTGATGATGACTCGAAGGAAAGCGCTTGGGGCAGTCTTCTCGGGCATTGGGAAACTGACAGGCGCATATTAACATATGTATTCCGGCCGTCGCAGCGCTATGAGAGACTGGATGCACGTTGTTGTTGTTGCTGCTGCTGCTGCTGTTGAAAGATTGACTGAAAGGGAACACGTCAACTTGTGTCGTTGTACAGCTGAAGTAGTAAACCCGTATAGTACGGGAATACACCTTTCTCGGAAGAAACTTTCCGAGTTATGTTACCTCTCCGGCATTCTTTCGAGCGAGTCATGAAGGAACCGATGTACTCGATTTTTAAACTCGAGTCTCTCTCTCAAAAAAAAAGAAAAAGTTACAGTGGCAGCTCGACTCCTTTCAAAGTCGATCCTCGGTGCCTGGGAGAGCTAGACGAGGAGAATCGCAGGCAAAGTAAATATGACCACGAGACTATGACTGGCGGAGATAGTGGTCACGAAAGTCACGGCTGGGAATTTCCGATCGTGCCTGAACCTGACCTTCTTGCCCGATACAAAAGCCTTCTGGGTTTAAGCCCTTCTGCGGCTTTTGCTCAGCCCGTCATGAAGCCCAGCGATGATCCTCTCGACGAAGCAATGCTGCCTCCAGCAGACGAGACAGAAGAAGAGCGCATCATCCGTCTAGCCAGAGAGGAACAGGCACGGAACATCAGCTTCGCCATTGACCAGAGCATCAAGTCGGAACGACAGGCACGGGGAAGAAGAAGGATTGTGAGATTATTATTGCTGGGACAGAGCGAATCAGGTGAGCTCCCTTGTCTGCTAATTGTCGACAAGGCTCATATTTCCAGGCAAATCCACCACGTTACGACGTACGTTTTTCACCTCTGTAACCACCCAAGCTGACTCCAACGATTCAGAATTCCAGCGGCTATATACTCCTACCGCATTTCGCGAAGAGAGAATCCTTTGGAGACAGATAATACAGCTCAATGTTGTTCGCTCAGTCCGAACAATTCTCGATGCAATCAGTCTTGCGACATCATCGCCGCAGACTTCTCCCCGAACATCACCACGGTCGCATCATAAAAGTCTGATATCCAGGACTCGACGCAGGTCGAATGCCCAGGCAGAACTGATGCCAGGTCCCAGCAGCCACCAGGAAGATTATGACTCTGACGAACCAGAATCCGACATTGAAACGACACCATCTCCAGCATATTCCTCTCTAGAAGCCCTAAAAGCGCGTCTGGAACCATTGTTCCAGGTCGAACAGGTTCTAATAGCCAAGCTCGTCCCTCCAAACGAGGACGAAGCTACTCATCTCGGGAATGTCAATCCCGCCAGTGACGCGATGCTTCGCATGCGAGTACAGTCTCATAATTCCGAGGTCTTTGTTCGACCAGGTCCCAGCTGGAAAGGCGCTCTCTCTCGAGCCAGGGTTCATTATCCCAGCAATCAAGACGATGACCCTGATTCGACCACCTTGTACGACCGACCCAACAGTGCTGGAAATACAGGGCTCGAGACCCTTGACGAAACACAGCATGTCCTACATTCCCTTCGAAAGGATATGGTTCAGCTTTGGGCCGACCCGATTGTTCGCGCCATTCTCAAACATCGGAAGATACGACTAGAAGAGCTTCCGGGATTGTCAGTCCCTCTTTTGTCTTCTTTCTAATTCCATCTCTTACATCTTCTACAGTTTTCTGAACGATCTCGAGCGGATTACCGCGCTACGGTATATTCCCAGCGACGGTAAAAGCCCAATTCTGTCTGTCAATGATTGATATTGATTGAATTATACAGACGACGTTCTAAAGGCGCGGCTTAAAACAGTAGGAGTATCGGAATACAAATTCCATATGGAAGTCAATGCTTCGAGGGATACAGGAACGGAATGGCGGATCGTGGATGTAGGTGGAAGTCGCAGTCAGGTAAACCATCTACACATTAGCTTTAATAATTGACTGACGGGCTCTACAGCGTCGTGAGTATCGGTTTTGTTACTTTGGGGTCTTGGCTTATGATGTACAGCGACATGGATACCCTTTTTCGACGACGTAGACGCAATCATTTTTCTCGCCCCGATATCTGGCTTTGACCAGGTTTTGGCAGAGGACCGAGGGGTCAACCGGCTGGTAAGTCGCTGACCTGTCTGGATCTATGCTTGCTGACTCGCTGCAGGAGGATTCAGTTCTCCTTTGGAAAGCTGTTTGTTCCAACAAGCTTCTCGCTAACGTCGACTTGGTGCTTTTCCTAAACAAATGCGATTTGCTAGATACGAAGCTCAAGGCGGGCATCAGGTGGGCATCAATGCTTCTCAACCGTCTAGCGTCTAGTTTACTCCCGCTTCAGACTAGCAAAGTATGTCAGAAGCTACGGCGAAAGAGAGAATGACTTGGACAACGTCTCCAAATGCAAGTCAACTTTTCGTGTCAGCTTGTCAACGTCAATCTGGCACCTCCTTATCATCGTTTCTGACGTTTCTTCTCCTTTCTAGACTTGCGAAGCAAATTCAATGCAATCCATCGGGAATACTCTCCCAACCCGAGAAAGTTTTACGCCTTCTGTACGTCTGTGACTGTAGGCGTTTCTTTTACATTGTCTGGGTTCTAAGCTGACTCGGGCTTTAGGACACCGCGACGACTGCGGGAATCATTGCGAGTGGTATGTCCTTGCTTTGTCAAGTTGATGGTTCTGCTAATACAATGTCCAGTGCGAGACATGGTTATTCGTCAACATCTCAAGCAGTCGAAACTGCTATGACCTTTACAATCTTTTATTACAACGCATTCATTCATTTCAGCATTGTGTCAACATCTTTTGTCATATCATCTG